GCATTGGCTCCCAGTACGTTTCCAAGCACAATTCAAAGTGTTGGTGCTGACCTTTAAAGCCCTAAACGGCCTCGGTCCTGTATACCTGAAGGAGCGTCTTCACCCCCATCGTTCTGCCCGGACACTGAGATCCACCGCCGAGGGCCTTCTGGCGGTTCCCTCATTGCGAGAAGCAAAGCTACAGGGAACCAGACAGAGGGCCTTCTCGGTAGTGGCGCCCGCCCTGTGGAACACCCTCCCTTCAGATGTGAAGGAAATAAGTAGCTATCCTATCTTTAAAAGACATCTGAAGGCAGCCCTGTTTAGGGAAGTTTTTAATATTTAATGCTGTATTGTTTTTAACACTCGATTGGGAGCCACCCAGGGTGGCTGGGGAATCTCAGCCAGATGGGCGGGGTATAAATAAATTATTATTATTATTATTATTATTATTATTATTATTATTCCCCACTTGGCCATCAAGCTCACTGGGTGACCTTGGCCTGTCACTCATTCTCAGCTGAATCAACCCCACAGGGTTGTTGAGAGGATACGATGGGGAGGAGGGGAACTATGTACACTACTTTTGAGCTCATTGGATAAAATATGGGATATAAATGCAATAAATCGATACAGAAAATCCATAGTGGCATTGCTTTCTTCTCTTCAAGATGCTTGCTAACATTTCGGGCTCGGGATTCATTGCAAACTCTGTGTCTCCTTTAGCAAAAGAACTTTGCGAGTACAAAACCCACTTTAAAACCAAAAGGAAGCAAGAACAAAAGACTTAGACAAATAATTTGCCCTCGGATTTTTTCCTCATCCCCTTTTATATATAGTAATAAAGTGAGTTCTTCGCAGGAAGATTCCGTTGCCGTTCTTCAGTTACATTTTCATCATGAGTTTTAAATTAGTTGTCGGATTACAGGCCGGAAATATTGTACTGCAAAGTTATTAGATTTTTCTCCCCCGACGCTCGCTTCATCTTTTCTCATGCAAAAGACACATCAGTGGGGAACCCAGAAAGACAGCTCCATTGTTTAAAACGGGGCTGGTTCTACAAATGCAAGCATAGGGACATAGGGAGATGCCTTACACCACATTAGAACATTGGTCTATCTAGCTCAGTAGCCAGAGAGCCAGTGTGGTGTAGTGGTTAAGAGCTGTAGTCTCGTAATCTGGTGAACCGGGTTCGATTCCCTGCTCCTCCACTTGCAGCTGCTGGGTGACCTTGGGCTAGTCACACTTCTCTGAAGTCTCTCAGCCCCACTCACCACAGAGTGTTTGTTGTGGGGGAGGAAGGGAAAGGAGAATGTTAGCCGCTTTGAGACTCCTTCGAGTAGTGATAAAGCGGGATATCAAATCCAAACTCCTCCTCCTCCTCCTCCTCAGTACTGTCTACACGGACTGGCAGCAGCAGTCCAGGTTTTCACACAAGAGACATTTCCAGCCCAACCTGGAGATTCTGTGGACTGAACCCGGGACATTCTGTGAAGCTTCACCACTAAGGATGACCGGGGGTTCTATTCAGTTAAAATTTAAAAGCGAAACTACCTAATTCACATTTTGTAGGACAATATGTGAACCAAATCACATATAGAATGCATTATACTAAGGGGAAGTACTTTGCAAAATGTGTATATTTGGGGAAATTGGTACTAAAGGGCTAGTGAATTTTCATGAGGAGTTTTAGAAAAAATACATAACAACAACAACAACAACTGCAAACCAGTGTGAAAATGGGAAAATAAGAAACTGGGGACAAATTTGCCCATCACTATCTAATGCTGAGATGTGACTCTTCCAAGATTCAGAACAGATAGAATCAAAGAATCATAGAATTGAAGCGTTGGAAGGGACCCTGAGGGTCATCTAGTCCAACCCCCTGCAATGCAGGAATCTTAGCAAAAGCATCCATAACAGATGGCCATCCAACCTCTCCTGAAAAACCTCCACGGAAGGAGAGTCCACCACCTCCCGAGGGAGACCGCTTCACTGTCAAACAGTTCTTACTCTCAGAAAGTTCTTCCTGATGTTTAGTTGGAATTTCATTTCTTGTAACTTGAAGTCATTGGTTTGAGTCCTACCACCCAGATCAGGAGAAAACAAGGTTGCTCCATCTTCCATGGGACAGCCCTTGAGATGTCTGAAGATGGCTACCATATCTCCTCCCAATCTCCTCTTTTCCAGGCTAAGCATACCCAACTCCTTCAACTGTTCTACCAGAAGCTCAGCTCTGCCCTCGCCGGTCCTGGAAGGATCCTTTAAAAAAGTCCCATATGCTCAGAGACTTTGCGCCTGTTCATTGGAAGCCCAATGAACAAGGAAGCCCAGAGCAGTTGTTCTTCAGATGTCCCTCTTATGAAGAGGCACATAGTGAGACCGTTGATCCCCTGCTGGTGAGGCTTGCTGACCTCCGGGAAAGGAAAGGTCCCCCACACGATACTCTGGGCTAGAATTTTAAGAGGAAAGGAAAAGGAACCTTTGGGTAAAAGGGTTGTTCAGTGAGGTGGGGGCAATTTTGTCAGGAGTTCAGCCTACACTTGAGTAGGACCCTGGCAGAGATACAGTGGAGTAGATGCGCCAGAGGCACAAATCAGGAGGAACTACAAAGGGTGAAATGGCCACCAGGTATGCTCAGGAGTTTGCTAACACGTCTGTTGCAGATTTAGCTGTGGTTAGTGGCTTGACACAGGTCTTGAAACCCGGAGTCTTGAAAGGGGTACAGGGTTTGTCCTCAAGGGACAGGAAACCACACCCAAAGGCTGTAAGGGTAGACACTGTTTCCTTGGAGAAGGAAGCTGGACCACGTCCAGAGGCTGGGTGTGCAAACACTGATTCCTCAGAGAGGAACGAGGCTAGGGTTCGAGTCCCAACAAAGCCAAGTGTGAGACTTCCTGATAGTCAGAAAGGTTATGATGCCAAGACGGTGCAAGAAGTGCAAGATGGTGAGGCCCAAGGCCAATCCAGTTGCAGGTAGTTCCAAGCGTGGAACGGGTGATACAGAGGTATACTGTGTGTATAACATCTGTATGGTTGTTGCAGTTAAACTGATGACTGCAGTTTATTTATTTATTTAGACTTAAATTTTTATTAGTTTTCATCAAACATACATTCCAATACATTCATTGTATTAATACATCTCATACATAACATTAGCTCTATTGAGCTTTGGACTTCCTTCCTCCCCTTCAGTAAGTATCATATATTTTCTTTATGTCACGTATTTTATACATTTATCTATTTGATCATAAGCTGTTGAAGTTAATCAAATCCTGCCAGTGTCTTTAAAGATTTACAATTGTTTCTTATATAATCCAAATATTTACTCCAATTTTCATAAAACTTTTGTTCATCCTGATCTTTTATTCTCCCCGATATTCTAGCCAGTTTCGCATAATAATGACTGCAGTTTATCCAAGTGAGAGCGGGCACAATGGTGTGAGAGGAAAAAGCACCGCCATGCTCCTCGCATCTCACTTCTCAAAAGGGAGAGTTCCTTCCCTCCCTTGAGGAGGGAGAGACAACATCAGGTAGAAAAAGTCGGCCTGGATGCCAGCAGCATTGTGTTCAAGGACAGGCAAATCTCCCTAGAATGGTTCGTTGTAAGCTGTGCAGAGACGATGGCTTAGTTGAACAGCCCTGCTTCAAAGGGTGACCCTATCCTCAGCACAGTCTGGGATTCCTCTTCCATTTACACAGAATAAGGCCCAAACACTGTGGAATTGTAGAAAGCCCAAAGTCAAGACTGCAGATTTTTTCTCCCTCCCCTTTGATCTCCGGCAGTGAGATTGGGATGACTTCTCCTCCCGGAGAGCAGAGCAGACAGACGCAGGGCTGGGATTAAAATAATAATAATCAAATCAAAAGCGGCCCTTGCGCAGTGGAGGAGAGCTAACATGTGAGCTTATGGGTCGCGACAGATGCAGTATTGATAAAAAGGAGGCCAAGGAAAATGGAGCGGCGAAACGACAGGGGACCCAAGGCGTGATCCTGATCTGACCTGATGGCTTCGTTATGCTCCACACAGCGAGCGGAGGAGACTGGGCCTGGAGGGGGGGGGCAGCAGTTGCAATTGGGGGGGGGGGTTGAGCGAGAAAGGATGGGGTATAAGAAGTCCTGCTCTGGGTTCTGCATAATTTTTGTTCCTTTTTTGTGTGAAGCCTGGAGCAATGTGCGAGAAAGCGGCAGACCCAAGCAGTTTAATGGGAAACTTAAAGAAGTAAGTGGGAGGAAGGTGGAGTTAATGTCAGGTCCTACTTGCCACTTCCCTTTGGAGACACCTGGTTGGCCACTGTGAGAAGTGGGTGCTGGATTAAATGGCCCATTGGCCGGATCCAGCAACACTCTTCTTGTGTTCTCAAGGTACACACAACTCAGCCAGCCAGTCTCTACCAATTAATGGGAAAATAAATTGCACTTGGAGCAGCAGTCTTGACATGATATGACAGCTGCCAACTGCCTGCAAAAACAGTCAAAGTCGTTTTAGTTTTGACTAGCTTTCCCAGCAGGTTAAATGGCTTTTTACCACGAGTGTCTACAGTTAGGGTTTTAATCTTGTTTTGAAGATATTGGTTGTTTTTGTGTTTTGAGCTGTTTCAGATTCTTTTATGTGTCAGTTGCCTTGAGATAGTGGTTTAGATGGTGCTTAAAAATTAAGTACAGTCATACCTCGGGTTACAGATGCTTCAGGTTGCGTTTTTTTGGGTTATGGACCACCAAAACCCGGAAGTACCAGAACGGGTTACTTTCAGGTTTTGGCGGTTGCACATGCGCAGAAGCGCTAAATCGTGCTTTGCGCATGTGCAGAAGTGCGAAATCGCAACCCACGCATGTGCAGACGCGCCGCTATGCATTGTGAACGCTGCGGGTTGCGAACGTTCATCCCGCACAGATCATGTTCGCAACCTGAGCATCCACTGTATAATAATATTAATAATAATAATAATAACGACAGAATCATAGAATTGTGAAGTTGCAAGAGCCCATAAGGGCCAAACCCCTGAAATGTATATATCTTTTGCCCACTGTGGGGCTCAAACCCACAACCCTGAGATGAAGTATCTCATGCTCTACCGACTGAGCTATCTAATAGCTCTTTCACGCCCTCCATGAAATTAGGAAACACACAATGGGGATGCATGAAAAGGCTTGAAGGCTAGTCTTAGCAATTTCTGTTTCTGGAGCTGAGCAGAGCTCTTTTCCTTCTTCAATATGAGTGAGGAAATGAGGGGATCAGAGAATTTGGCAAATAGCCCTTTTCACTATGAGGTCAAAGGAGAGGCGGCCTCCAGCAATCTGATCCTGTCCTTAGAAGGCCGGAAGCAGCTGTCAGCTCAGGGGGGAGATACACAAGAGCAGGGCATTCTAGGAGTGGCAGGTGAAGTTGACAGAATATGCAGAACTTGCCAAATTGTCAGGGAGGATCCGGGACCAGGAAGATCAAAGATACCAAAATAATTGGAGTAAATTTATTGAATATTTAAAGGAGAATTGTAAAGAGGTCAGGACACTAGCAGAACTGACATAATACCTTTAATGTATAATAATACTATTGTGAGAATGATGTGCGCGATAGAAAGGGGTTAAATATACCAATTGCAGGGAGGAGGGGAGTCGCGACTCGGCAGAGTCAAAGGGAATGTATGGCATTAATATGGTTTGTTGGAAAAGAAGAGTAGGGCATTCTCAAATTGGGTCCCTTGTGATTCCCATCCATACTATGGTAGGTTGATTGTAGGTAGGAATATATAGACTCTCCCACCCCAAATGCAGACTCACACGCCGTTTCTCTCAAATTCCCTGAAAAGTTTCTCCATTAGCCTTGGAATGTTTTGAGTTAGGCATCATTAGGTGAGAAATTCAATACAGGTAGCAGTATGGACTGGTGGGATAACTGGGCCAAAACAAACAAGAAAATCAAGCTGGCTACATCCACTGCGTTCCCTTCATCTATCAGGCTTGTAATTCTGTCAAAAAACGAGATCAGGTTAGTCTGACATGACTTATTTTTCAGAAATCCATGCTGACTATTGGTGATCACAGCATTCCTTTCTAGGTGCTCACAGACTGTTTGCTTAATGATCTGCTCCAGAATCTTCCCTGGTATTGATGTCAGACTGACTGGGCGGTAATTATTTGGGTCCTCTCTTTTCCCCTTTTTGAAAATAGGGACAACATTTGCCCTCCTCCAGTCTGCCGGGACTTCGCCTGTTCTCCAGGAATTCTCAAAGATGACTGCCAGTGGTTCTGAGATCACATCTGCCAGTTCTTTTAATACTCTTGGATGCAGTTCATCTGGCCCTGGAGACTTGAATACATCTAAACTAGCCAAGTATTCTTGTACTATCTCCTTAGTTATTCTGGGCTGTGTTTCCTTTGCTGAATCATTTGCTCCAAATTCTTCAGGTCGGGCATTGTTTTCTTTATCGGAGAAGACTGAGGCAAAGAAGGCATTGAGGAGTTCAGCTCTTTCTGTGTCCCCTGTTTGCATTTCACCATCTTCTCCTCTGAGTGACCCCACTGTTTCTTTGTTCTTCCTTTTGCTACGGACATACCCATAAAAGCCTTTTTGTTGCTTTTAACCTCTCTAGCAAGCCTGAGTTCATTCTGTGCTTTAGCTTTTCTGACTTTGTGTCTACACGTGCTGGCTATTTGTTTGAATTCCTCTTTGGTGGTTTCCCCCTTTTTCCATTTTTTGTACACATCCTTTTTTAATCTTAACTCAGTTAAAAGTTCTTTAGATAGCCACCCTGGCTTCTTTAGGCACCTTCCATGTTTCCGTCTCATTGGTATTGCCTGACGTTGTGCTTTTAGTATCTCCCTCTTAACAAACTCCCAGCCATCATGAACTCCCTTTCCTTTTAGTCTTACTGTCCATGGGATCTCACCCAGCACTTCCCTAAGTTTTATGAAGTCAGCTTTCTTAAAGTCAAGAAATTGAGTCCTAGTATGCTTGGCTGCTCCTTTCCGCTGTATAGTAAACTTCAGAAGAGCATGATCACTCGCGCCTAATGATCCTTCCCACTTCTACCCCATTAACCAGGTCATCAACATTGGTTAGGACCAGATCTAAAATGGCTGTTCCTCTTGTTGCTTCTCCCACTTTCTGGACAATGAAGTTGTCTGCAAGGCCAGTGAGGAATCTGTTTGACCTTATGCTCTTGGCTGAGTTTGACATCCAACAAATATCCGGGTAATTGAAGTCCCCCATTACTACTATCTCCCTTCCTTTTGCATGCTAAAATGGTAACTCAGGTTAAGAACAGTTTCAGGTTAAGAACGGACCTCCGGAACACATTAAGTTCATAACCAGATGTACCACTGCAATGCAAAATGGATTAATCCATTCCAGGCTTTTAAAAACAACCCCTAAAACAGCAATTTAACATGAATTTTACTATCTAACAAGACCATTGATCCATAAAATGAAAGCAATAAACAATGTACTGCAGTCACACCAATCAATCAATCAATCAGTAGCTGAACTGGGTTCTATACAGTAACAACAACAACAAAAAAGAGCCGCAAATACAAAAAAGCAAAATAAATGGCAGAAACAGACAGACCTCAGCGTAACACTCAAAACAGAAGTGTGGCACCCAAATTGGAAGTGTGGCACTCAAATCAGAAGCATAACACTCAAAACTGAGCATGTTTGACTTCCAAAAAAAGTTCGCAAACTGGAACACTTACTTCCAGTGTTTGGGTTCCAAGTTGTTTGAGTACCAAGGCATTTGAGAACCAAGGTACCACTGTAATAAGTGCAGCAATTGCACATAATAATTAAAACATTTTAAAACCGCACAACTACCATAATAATAGGGAAGGGCCATAGTTCCTCAGTAGACGTTCTGCTTTGCACGCACAAAAATATATTGCAGGTTCAACCCCTTGTATCTCCAGGGAGGGTTGGGAGAGACTCAAGGGGATAAATGTTAAAATTGTTGTTCTATGTTTCTAATGCCATTATACAGCAGCAGAATAATAGCACTCCTAAGACAAAAGCCATGCCCCCAAATACTGAGGGAGCAAAATATTGCTTTGTGTGTGTCTGTGGGGTGGTGGTGAAGATTTTACCTCCACAGAGAATCCCTACCTCCACAGTAGGGATGTCAACATAGCTTGCAGACAGACATTCCAACCACTATGCAACACTGCTTCTCCAGTCATGTTATATTGAAATACTGAAATATATTGAAATAGTATTTTAATATTTTTTTGGAAGCCGCCCAGAGTGGCCGGGGAAGCCCAGCCAGATGGGCGGGGTATAAATAATAAATTATTATTATTATTATTATTATTATTACTTTGTCACTTGTACAACTTGTATACAGTGAGATTAGACGAGCACCCCCCACTCAGCTCTCTTAGTCTTAATTCCCCTCGTTTGCTGACGCACACCGACCAAACCCGAAAGTCAGTTGCCCTGTTGTTAACTTTTCATTCAGCAGCCTAACAGCCCACGGATAGAAGCTGTTCTTTACCCTGTTGGTGCGACTAATCGTGCTTCTATATCTTCTGCCCGAGGGCAGGAGATCAAGGAAGTGCCGGCCAGGGTGTGAATCATCCCTGAGAATTTTCCTCACTCTCCTGAGGCAACGTTCTTCCGCGATGTCATCCAGCGGATTCACAGGACAGCCCATAATATCTTGTGCTGTATTCACCACCCTCTATAGGCACTTCCTATCAGATGATGTCAAACCAGCATACCACACCGATTATATGATTCTTTCCGAAAGGCACTGTTGACCTTTCCAGAAAAGAAAGATTCTCTATCCTTGGCACCAAACTTTGGCACCGTCTAGGTTAGAACACAAATTTCTCTGCCTCGAAAGGTCCATATGTAATGCAAATCACATGTTACTTTCCTTGAAGGTTCTTCAACAGCTCTTATGGGGAAATATATCCCCATACATGGGCTGAGAGTGTTTCTTTAAAGTTAAAGATATTGAAGTATTGGGCATCAAAAAGTCCTCTGATCTAACTAAGCAAACAGGAGCTGACCTACTTGTCCCCGGAGTCTTGCAAACTTCATTGAGGGTGTTTGCTTAGTTTTGTTTGAGCTAAGATTAGGGTCAAAGATTTGGGGCAAGGAAGGGGGAAAAGATTAAATTTCAAGCTGATCCAATATAGTATAACCAACATTACAAGTCAATTTGGCACTGCCAGGGCAAGTGGGAGAGATCTTTCCCAAAAACTCCCCAAAATATTCATTAAGTTCTGCCCTACTTCTAAATCTACCTTAAGGGAATGGATTCTACTCACAGCTACGGGAAAGAGAAAAAAAGGACGTACTTGGAGCACTGCCACCACAGCAAAGATTTGTAAAGGATGGAACAGAAATGTGATGTAATTCGTATTTAAAGACAAACCAACCAAAATTGCACTTTCTGAAGCAACCCATGAACGAAAGACAGCTACCATTCGAGAACTCTGAATTATGCAGTCCCATGATCTGTCCAAGTTATGCATACAGGAATGCATATAAACAGGATAGAGTGTGCATAAATGTGCATAAAAAAGGTAAAGGTAAAGGACCCCTGACAGTTAAGTCCAGTCGCGAAGGACTCGGGGGTTGCGGCGCTCATCTCGCTTTACAGGCCAAGGGAGCCGACGTTTGTCCGTAGTTATTCTGAGTCATGTGGCCAGCAGGACTAAGCTGCTTTTGGCAAAACCAGAGCAGTGCATGGAAATGCCGTTTACCTTCCCACCTGAGCAGTACCTATTTATCTACTTGCACTTTGACGTGCTTTCAAGCTGCTAGGTTGGGAGGAGCTGGGACTGAGCAACTGGAGCTCACCCTGTCGCAGGGATTCGAACCGCTGATCTTCCGATCGGCAAGTCCTAGGCTCAGTGGTTTAAACCACAGCGCCACCCACGTCTCTAAATGTGCATAGATACATGAAAAAACATATGCAAAAATGCACTGCATTAGGGAAAGGAAAATGCTGGTCCGAAACCTCTGCTGCCTTGTGGGACATCATTGGGAGAAGAAAAGTCTACGGAGTAAAACCTACACAAATCTTGAGTCTCTAAGGCTGTTGAATGACACCTTGTACATCTCCTTCCAGCAACTCCTGGAGCTAAGCTAGTG